TAAATGAGAAAGCATAAGGAAATGCCAGGCTCCTTTCCTGGCAAAGAGTTGTCGCTCAAGAATTGTGAATTTTTCTTCTAACACAGATTGAATGTGTCTGAAAAAATTAAAGAGGTGATAAAGTGCTATCAAAACTTGAACTCAAACCTATACATATTTCAGTAGTGGAACATCCTGGGTGCTGTTGGGAGGAGAGAGCAGTGCATAACAGTTTGAGTATACAGTTGTCAAGAATCAGTGCAGACAAACATGCAGAGCCTGCTCTGCAAGGTAGAGGAAGAGGCAGAGGCTTGCCTGGTATCTGGAAACCAACAAGCCCCTTCTGCCTTTGCAAAGGGACTATGGCTCAGCCCTCTCTCTGGGTCTTCTCTTTGGCTTTTTCTCTTTCTCTCTCTTCTTTCCTGTCCTTTCCATGCCCTCCATTCTCTTTCTCCCTTATCATCCTCTTTGCCCCCATCATTGATTATTGAGCATGATTCTGCCTTCTACTCTGTTTTCTTCTCCTCTTCCCTCTCTCTCCTGCTCTCTTCTCCTCTCTCTTTCCAGCTTGGCCTGGGCGCCAGGGCTTCTCCCCTTAGACCCGGGTGGTTCACCCCCATTAAGCTCGACAATTTCTCATATGTCAATTAGAAAGAGGCAGCATTCCCCTGTCTCCCTCCCTTTCCTCGGCCTGCCGTGATGCTCAAATCAAGCACCATCTGTTGCATTCATCCGGGCCATGGTGAGCATTTTGCCACTCTGGGGAGGCAGAGCTTGGTAGGTACCAGGAGGTAATAAGGCTTATTTGAACAACTTGATACATTGATATTGATAGAGCTGCAGAATGGGGGCTGGAGGGGTGCTGTGAAGAGGGCGGCATGCAGGACGAAATTGGAGAGGGAAGAGATACACACTAGCACTGGCCCTGTCAGCCTGCCTGGGCTCTTGGCATTGTTGCCAAGACAAAAGCAGCCAAACAGATGGATAGGATTTGCTACAGTTGGGATCAGAAACCCTTGAAGCTCAGGGGAGCAAACCTTCTCTCTCCATGTGTCTTTCCTCTCCCCCAGCCATTTAAGTTTATATCAGCTCAAGGGAAAGAACATAGAAATAACAGGACAGGGATACAATGACCTTTAGAAATTGCTGAATTTCAGAGATAGGAAGAACAGAGAGGGGATAGTGTATCAGTCATTTTCTGTCTAGACAAAGAAGCATCCCCAAAATATAAAAAGATTTTATAAGAATTCAATGAATCAACTGTTTGTGGAGGTCTAGGAAGAGCAAGGAGAGTCAACATGTGGAAATCAAGGTACCGGGGACAGGGCAGGACAGGAAGCCACTATTAGCTGCTGGAACTGAAGGGGGAGGGAGAGGAAAGTGGTTTTATTGGTGTGAGATTTGGAACTGTGGAAAAGGGAACCCCTGGCAGAAGATGTGATTACCCAGGGTCCTTGTCTCTATCAGATATGGTACCGAAACAGGAATGGAGTGAGGGAAGAGATACTCCACACTCTCCCTTCCCATCTTTAGCCAGAGCATCCTACTGGCCAAACCCACCTTGCAGCCAGATAACATGGAGCTAGGTGATACTGCCCCTAGGGACCTGCCACTGGGACAGATGGGAAGAATGCACCTGGGGAGCATGGTGGATCAGCGGTGCCAATGGAGAGCAACCAGCACAGATCGGGGTGTGTATGCATTCTGTCGCCTGCACTGTGCCAGAAGCTCATGTTCTTTACTATTACAGATACTTCCTCTTACCTCTTGGAAGGGATGCATGCATGGAGTCTCCCTAGAGGCTGGCTCTCTCTTGTGAGTGTGTGACCCAAAGAACTCAAGTCTCTACTCCACATGGCCACTTAGATGTTTTGAAGAGACCCCTAAGTTTCCATACCTAAAACCAAGCTTGTTCGTGCCTATCAAATGTGGACTTTTACAGGGTCCCTGCTCTTGATGAGGCACCATCGTTCCACAGCTGTGAAAAGCCAGAAGACCAGGAGTCAATCTCAAGTTCCCCACCCCATGTCTGCCCCTTTCAGTCTGCCTTCACGACCCGAGGGTGTTTTACCTACAATATCACTCTCAAGGTTGCCCACTTCTCAGTCTCTACTATTCTACTGCTTCTGCCTCTGTTCTCTCTACTACTCCACCTACATCCCCATCTTTACCGTGTCTGCACTACTCCAGGCAGCCATCGTCTCATACTTGGGCTCTGGTGCTGCTGTGTTATCTTCCTAGTTGGTCTTCTCATTTTCATTCCTGTTCTTTCCCAGTAAACTCTTCTCTCTTTTTCTAGAGAAATCTTCCCTTCATGCAAATCTGCTCCTGCCCCTCTAAAACCTTCAGCATGGTCCATCCTTCACAAGGTCCAAGGAGTAAGGGTCAGGGTTAGGCTTCCTGTTTCTTCTCCTGGGTTATCTCATGTCACTTGCAGTCAGTAATTCAGTACCAAAGGCCGGTTTCAACCCTTTCCATAGTCCTTCTCCCTAAAAGGTCTTCATTTAGACTGTTCTGTCTCTTTTTCTGCACTCATCTTACCTCTCCAACACCCAACACTTTCTCCCACTTGATGATGCATACTCTTCAGACCCTAGTCACGTGCCCATTTCCATGAAGCACATTTCCATTATTTCCTAGACAAGGTCATAGTCTTCTTTAGATTGTGTTTTAGTCTGACTGGACTAAATAATAAAATACAGTGGACGGTGTGGCATAAGCAATGGTTTTCATACAGTTCTGGAAGCTAAAAGTCTAAGGCCAGCAGGGTGAGGTTTTGGTGAGGGTTTTCCTCCTGGCTTGCAGACTGTCACCTCCTCTTTGTGTCCTCATATGGTGGAGAACAGGGAGAGAGAAAGAGGTGTCTCTCTTTCCAGTCCAATCAGATTATTGCCCTTCCTTATGACCTCACTCAATTTTACTTACCTCCTTACGACCCTACAAAAATGAGAGTTTGCTGTTGAAGCCACCAGTCCATGATGTTTTGTTAAGCCAACCAGTCTACAGTGTTTGGTTGTAACAAGAGGTGTTCCTGTTGTTCTCACCAGAGGCTCGTGATGGATTTTCTGTAAATGCTGCTGAATGAAGAGATAAATAAGTGGGGAGATGAGCGAATGAATGAATATTGACAAACCTAGGGGAGTCCCTCTATTTGAGAATCTCAGATAGTCCATTACTTGTTCTGGATTTTTTTTTACAATGGCATATTTTACCTCTTTCAATTCTGGGTAAGTCACTCTTCTCTCTGGGTTTAAGGAATCAAATTGGGCCTGACGTTGCTTCTCAGAACTTTACCTTCCTTTGGAGGGGTCTTCTCTGCAGGCTTCAGTAAGGAGCCCATGTTTGGAGTCTTATTGCACCACGTCAAGTAGGACCTAAGGGAGGTATCCTTGGAGAGGGGAGTAGGAGCAGTGAGGGAGCTAGAATGTCGCCACGCAGCTCATTCTGTTGCCTGTTGTCTTTTCCCTAGACACCAAAGATTATCCTTCTGTCCCTGAGGATGGGGCTTCTTACAGAACCTGCTCTCCCAATCTGCCCTCTGAGTGGCACCTACCCTGCAGACATACCTGTCTAATGGGAGGATATCTGGAGGAAATAGGGGCACTTTAGCCGTGGGTGCTGGGATGTTCAGGAACCTTCTTTGTCCAATCCGATGAAACCTCTTCAAAGAAAGTCTTTGGCACCTGTCGTCTCCTGGTATCAGACAGAAGGTAGCTGAAGAAATTCCCTCGCCTCCGGAGACAGAGACGGAGGGAGGGCTGAGTTTGAAGATTTCAAAGTCAAGGCTGTCTTTGGGAATGTCTCAGAACAAAGGCACGGGGGCCATGTAGCAGCCCCCCGGTCTTCTTTCTGGTCTCCCCTCCTTGCCTTTCATGTTGTCTTTCTCCTTCCTTCTCAACCCTTGTTGGTTTTTCCCCCTTTCCTTTTATCTTCTGCCTTTTTCTCTCTGCCTTTCTGACCTCACTTTCTTCATTCGCTGGAACTTTCTAACCAGTCGTTTTGAAACTTTGTGGAAATCCTGCTAGCAAATCATTGGAAGGTGTTGTTTGTAAAGGGAATGTCAGACTAGAGATCCTAAGGTGTGACTGCATCACTCGCTGGCTTGGAGCAAGTCACACAGCTCGTTTGCAGACCTCAGTGTAAGCTCCGTATAATGGGGATATGGTGCTAAGTGACCTACGTATCCACAGTACTGGAATTTTATCTCCTAGGACGTTGAGTGACTTTTGCTACCACTGCCCTGGTTCAGGCACCATTGCCTCTGACTGGCTACTGCAAAAGTCTCAATGCTGATCATCTCTCTTGCCTCCATTTGCATTCTCCACAGTCAAATTAATAATTGTTAACAAAGAGGCTCAATTTCCCATGAACTTCCTATTTAAAGCCCTTCAGTAACAACATTTTGCCATTGAGATAACATCCAGATTCCAAATGTGGTTTACAAGGTGTCTATCTCCCTCCAGCTGTTTCTTACCATCTACCTGTGCAAGCTCCATTGCACCTACACTAAGGTCCTTTCTGTTGCTCAAGAATCATGCTCCTTCTGGCTCCAGATTATCACACATGCTTCTTCTGGCCTGGACACTTATTTTCCAGATTTCCCCACCTCCATCCTGATCTGCCTTTGCTAATTTACACTCATCCTTAAGATCTCTGTTTAGATATTGCTCTCTTCAGAAAGCTTGGAGTGAGATGCTCTAGAGTTCTAAACTCTCCTATCACATAAGTGTTTGCAGGGTTAGCCTTGCTGGGATTTGTATGCTACCAAAGAATGAATTACCTGAAATGCGGATTGTATCTAAATTGTTACCACTGTATCCCAAGGGCACAGGGCAGCGCCTGTAACATAGTAGGTGTTCAATAAAGCTGACGTTACATCTGTGCTTATGCCCATGGCGTGTGGTTCTCTATCTCCACGGGGTCAGGGAGGGAGTTTTGAGACTCAAGGTGGCCAAGCCCGGTCCTCCAGGGGCTAAGGGTGGGCCAAGCCCTAATCTCAGCCCATTGCCACCCTGTATCAGCAGCTGAGGCGACGCAGGAGACAGTGGAGTCCCTGATGCAGAAGTTCAAGGAGAGTTTCCGCGCTAACACGCCCATCGAGATCAGTCAGCTGCAGCCAGCCCCTCGCAGCGCCTCGGCAGGGAAGCGGAAGCGGAGGAGCAAGTCTCGAGGTAGGCTCTCCTGGCACCTCTTGCCAGGAAGACAGCAGGCTGTCCTAGGGTCCCAGAGATGCTGGAAAGACTTCTTCCCTTGCTTGTATTGCTCATAGAACCCTGTTGCACTTTGTCCCTTATAAATCCCCTCCGACAAAGCAGATCTTTCCCCCTGGGGACAGAGCTCACTTCTGGGAACCCCAGCTTCCTCATCTGTGAATGGGAATGGGTCCTTTAAATTCTGGAGGAATTAAGAAGATTAGCAGCAATCTATGGGAAGCTTCTAGCACCAGGACCTGCAAACAGTAGATGGTCTTTTAAATTGTGGTTGGTGTCAACCTGGAGAACTAAGAGTGAAAAGACTCCTTGACTGGAGGTCAGGAACACGGGCCCCCAATAACAGGAAGTCGAGTCTAGTCTGTAGGAAAGGAAGTAACATAGTGATCAAAAGCATGAGTATTCTGAACTAGAAAGAATTGAAGTCAAGTTTTTGTTCTGCTAGTATGTCACTAGGCTGTCACTCTACTTCTCCAAGTAGAGTGTTTCATGGGGTCCTTGCAATATCTTAATACAGTGCCCAACATTTCATGAAGAGTAGCATTTTCCTTCTGCCCCTCCTGTTGATCTTCCCTCTTCTCTTTCCCTCTGCTACCTCATCATCTTCCTGGCCATCTGTATGACTTTGTGTATGTGAGGAACGCACTTGGCACGGCCTGATTTCCAAACCTGGTCTTTCTTTTCAGTCTGCATCTGGTTGTGTTTCTTCTTGCCTCTCACTTTTCAGCTTCCAATAACCAGCTCTTCTCCATGGCTTCGGTGGCCGTCTGGCACCTTCAGAAGCATTCAGGCTGAGGAACATGACATCCAAAGCCCCAGAGAGTTTTGACCGCTGTCTCTTCTAAATCCATGAGCTCTGACCTCTCTCTGTGTCTCTCCTCATACCACTGTCTCTGCATGAAGTCACCTATCTGACCCTTATAAATAATTTATTTACTCACACTTTATTTATTCTAGGCAGCAATATACATCTTATTTTGTTTGATCATCAGAGCGACCATATGAGGCAGTACAATGACAATTCCCATTTTATAGATCATCTCACTGAGGCAGAAAGAGCTATAGTAACCTGCCCAAGGGGACAGACAGCCTAGTAAGTGTGGTAGATCCAGGAAAAACCCATCAGAGTGAGTTTTTAACTAAACCATCAAATTCTACACAAGTGAAATCCTACCTGTCTTTCTAAGTCAAACCTAAGGCGTGCATTTCCATGAAGGTATCCTGTGTGGAAGTCACGATTCCCACTGGGTTGTCCTAGTTTTCCTTTATATATGTGTTAATCACTGGATTCATTTTTGCATATTGTAATTTGCTTCCGTCTAGCTCTTTTAGCTGGGCAGAAGGCAGGGATTGTCTTATTGCTTGGGTGGTGTTTGCATTTCTGGGCCTAAATCAGTGTCTGACACATGGGAGATGATTGCTGTTTGTTGAAAGCATGTCTATGTCTCACTCCTGTGCGATCGTGAATCCTGTGAAAACCCCAGATCTGCATGTTAAGCTGAGGCCACACATTGAAAACGATGAAATTCATTTTTGGAACTCGTGTGCTAAATAGCAGTTGCCTTGAAGTCAGAAATGTCTCAGTGCTCATCCCAACCCCATCAGTTTCCACTTGCATGGCTTAGATAGAGTTATCAGCCCTCTCTGAGCCTCAGTTTCCCATTGCACAAAACCATGATCCTTATATTAGAAGATTGCTAGGAGGAGCTGAAGAAATGACAAATGTAGATCACCTGAGAATCTCCAGGAAGCCTGTATCAAGAACTGAATAAATGCTATTGTGAATTTTTTTCCCTACATTGAGCATTCAGGGACACTCAAAATTTTACTGTCTTCCCTATCTATCTTTATTCCTTCAACATCCACCAAGAATCCCCCTCCCACATTCCCCTAATTGTATACCCCATAAATACCCTTGACTTTAAGTCAATAAGCTCTCACTTCTTTATGTGTTAGTATCGCACCTTAAACATCTTTATGTCACTGAATTATTTTAAAATATCCATTTCATGCACCATGATTTTCTTAAGCAGCCTCTACAATTAGAAACATGGGAGGTTTTAATATGTCATCATTATAAACAATGCCTCATACAAGTCTTTTGTGTTTTTTAGTTTTTCTTCTTTCTTTTGCATAATCTTTGCCTTCGCTTGGAAATCTCTCTCTCTCTCTCTCTCACACCCTGTTAGAGTAGAATTTCAGAGTAAGATTATTAGCGTACATCCCCTTGACCTAGATTGTGATTGGATAGCATGCTGTTTTAATTTACAAGTTAGATGGGTCCTCAGAGAATGAATGCATGAAGGAATCCATTTGAATCTCCTCAGTGTGTGTCCAATTCTGACCACTGTCATTTCTTACCTCCTCCTTTCAACTACACCCTTTTTTAAAAAATTCAGTTCCCTCAAAGTAGGTAGAGTAACTTTTTTAGAAATATCAATCAGATAATATCACTCTCCTGCTTTAATAGTTTCCTGTTTGCCTAAGAATGCAATCCAAATTCTGGGACACAGCCTGCCCCACACCTTGTCAACCCTGTGTGATCTGAAGCTGGCGAGGCTGTCTTCCCTAACATCACCTGCTCTGCATTTTTTTGTGCTTCAGCCAAACCTGTTTCTTGTTTTCCTTCCTGTTTCTTGAACAGAGCTAAGGGTTCCCTTCTTTAGAGGCTGAGAACTTACTAGTCCTTCTTCTTGCCATGTCTCTTTCTACACTGCCCCCCTTTACTACTCATCCTCCTCCTGTCTGGCCCCTTCTCACCTTTCACCCCTGGGCTCAGAGTCAGCTCCTCAGCACCATCTCTGGTGACCAGCCAATCAAAAGTTCTGCTCCTTTGGGTACCAAACTTGCTAGGATCTTTTACATAATTCTTTTGAAATTTTTTTTTTGCTTTTGCTTCCTCCGAGTAGTAGTTTAGTTTAAAATTCATTTCTTTTCTTGTTTATATGTGTTCCTCTCTCAAAGATATGCCTCAAATTTATAAACCTTCATGCATAGGCAGGCAGGGTTTAATAATATTTATTGACTAAGTGAGTGTATAGGCATCCAAAAGTGGCTCAGTTTTATAACTTTCAAATTGATGGTGTAAGAGGGATCCGTGCTGAACCAAAGCCTCCTGGTACTGACCTCCAGCAGACCCCACTTTCCCCATAGACATACTTCCTGACAAGTAGCACATCAACTGTGCTCAAGGGCATGCTGTCAAAGCCATTACCAAAAACAGCTCAACAGCATTGTGCTTGCAAGTTTGCTGCCACCATCAGGAAGGATTTTGTGGGAAAGGGGTGCAGACAGTATACATCAGCCCTGCACTTCCAAACTTGTTTATCAAGATTTGCTTGGGGGACTGGGGTTGTAGCTCAGTGGTAAAACACTTGCCTCACACGCATGAGGCACTGGGTTCGATCCTCAGCACCACATAAAAATAAATAAATAAAATAAAGACTTGTGTCCATCTATTTTACAAATAAAAATAGATTTTTTTAAAAAAAAATTACAGATTTCCTTGCATAGAAATGCATGAGTCAAAGCAAATTTTTGGAAATTCTGCTCACTCCCTCTTCCTCTTGGAGCTTTCTAAATGTCTTTTCATCTATTAAAGACAGTGGGCTGCAGTACAGAGAGCTGGGCTGCTTTGTTTAACCCAGTGTCTGTGATACCATCTTGTGCACAGATTCTGCTTTTCCCCCTGGAACATTTATTAACATCTTGTAGAACAGAAGTATCCTCGGAAACACAATTTTAGGCATGCTCCCTTACCCTTCTCTGACCGCCAAAAATCTCAAATATGATGGTCCGAATCCTGAGTCTTTCATTGTCTCTCCCCTCACCCTGCTACTGAGGTGGCTGTGGGCCTTCTGGCCCAGAGTGGGAGCACCTGGCCTCTCTTTGCTTCATTAGGCTCCACGCCCACTCCGTGTGGCCCAGCGGTTTCCAGCAGATGGAGTGGGTGGCTGAGAACCGGTGTCGTGGAATTGAGCACATGGCTGAGAGCAACTCCAATGTGTTTTTCATGACGGTGGCTTCCTCCTGAGAGGTCTAGGGATGCTGAAGTACATCGTCCTTCATCAGACAGTGGAAGGCTAGCGGAGGACCTAATTGCTGGCTCCGTGTTTGTGACAAGATTTTTATGAGGCAGCTGTTAATAAGTAGCCACTCCCTGGTGGCCTCAAAGGCCGTGAAAAAGAGGTGTTGGCATTCAAATAGGGCTGGGGAGGATTTCTTGGAGTATGCAGAGGAACTTCTTGAGTTTCCTGCAGTTTAGGTAGTGCTGTTTAGAAACAGGACTCTGTATTTGGAAATTAACTCTGTCATTGGCAAACCGAATGATCTTAAGCAAACTAAGAAGTGCTGGACACAGCCTCCGTTTCCTCTTCTGTAAAGTGCCAACCTCCCATGTGGGTGCAGAATAATACCTGACAGATGCCCAATCCAGCACCTGGCACACAGTCCTCCAGGAAGATGAGCCAGGGTTATCAGTGACATCAAGATCCTGTCCATCGGGACCCAGATCCCCACACATCCATCCCCTCCTTCCTGGGCCATGGTGGCTGCTTTGGAGGAGGTTTTGTTCTCCCTGATCCAGATTCCTGCAGCAGCCTCTTCCTCCAGCCTTGTGGTCCACAAATCCATCGTCCACCCTGACAGCTAGAGTGATCTTTGGAAAACACTCTAAATCTGGCTCTGTCACTCCCCTGCCTACAGCACTTTCCTTATATTCTGTCACCTGCACGGCAGTGGGCTTTTTCACTCTTGACGTGGGGGCCTCTGAAGGCAGATGAGAGTGGACACACCTCCAAAGGGTCTCCAGCCGTGCTCAGAAGGCACTGGTGATCAGGTCTCAATTCCTCTTTCCATCTTTATGAAAACAAATATGTGCCACTCTATTGATGATGTGAACATGTGTCATTCAGTTTAAATTGTGCTCTACTATTTGTCAGTTAACTGATCTAACATTTGCG